CTTCCTGGTGGTTGGTTCATTAATAGAAACCAGTTATCAAATCAGTCCCTGAAAATGTGTGTATTGCTTACCTTTTCTGTTGGACTCAAACAGGTAGCATGCTGTGAAACTCAGGGAAGTTAGTAAATTAATCCTTATTGAAATACAAGGGTACAGTTGAATGATCTACTATATGCTTTTATGTAAACATTTCTTTATAACAAATCTTTAACATTTCTCTTCAAAAGTTAACTTTTTAGGTGGGGAGCTGGGTTTCAGTTCTTAGATTTAAACTGGGTTCCTGTGCATAAGCACATGCTCTAGAACTGAAGTAAACCCTCAGCTGGATTTTTTTTTAAGAGAGAGAGAGAGAATTTTTTAATGTTTATTTTTCAGTTTTTGGTGGACACAACATCTTTATTTTATTTTATTTGATGCTGAGGATGGAACCCAGGGCCCTGTGTGTGCCAGGTGAGCGCGTTACCGCTTGAGCCACATCCCCAGCCCTGGATTTATTTTTTTTTAATTAATGACTACAGAGAATTATTAGATTGTTACAAATTACACATTGGAGATACAGTTTTCCTGACAGTATACTAAATATTTTTAAACAGTTGCATTGGAAGTGTGTGCATGGTCATTGTTTTTATATAAAAATTGTGTGAGGGGTTGGGGATGTGGCTTAGTGGCAGAGCACTTGCCTAGCATGTGTGAGGTACTGGGTTTGATCCTTAGCACTGCATACAAAAATGAATAAAATAAAGGCATGCTGTCTATCTACAATTATAAAAAATAAAAAAAATTTGTGTGTGTGTGTGTGTGTGTGTTGTGTATTTTCAAATATCAATTAGGGCCGGGCATATAGCTCAGTAGTAGAGCATTTATTTGCCTAGCATACCTGAGGCCCTTGGATCAATTCTCAGAATTGAACAACAACAACAAAAAAATCAAAATCAAAAAACAAAATCCCTCAAATGCCACATAGCTCTTCTGTTCCTGGACCAGAAAACCCATTGTTTGTTTTGCTTTATAATTGCCATGTTATTTTTGAAGAAAGCATTTTCACTGTAATTTCATAGATAAAAGGGTTAATAGATGGCTTCCGGGGGTTGAGTGAATAGTCTGAAATTGTATGCTACTGTGTGAAAACTATGAGAGTATATATTTAGGTATATAATTTTCTGGTTTGAGCATCCATACCTTTCATCAGATTCTCAAGGGTTTGTCAAGCCATTCCTTTAAAAGGATCAGAAAATGGTTTTTGTTTTTAAATAGGTGGTTCAGAAGTTTAGCGTACTTGAGGAGTTTTGAAGGCTAGTTTTATAATTGCAGCAATTATAAAGGAACAGAGGATTACAGACATTATTTAGCAAATCACGTTAAGGTTTGTTTTTGTCTCAAAAGCTTCCTACATTATTATGTTCCTCTGTCTAGGTCATCCTGCTGGCATGCTCTTTACCATAATGGTGCTACTGTATTATCCAACCATACCGCAGCACTTAAAACCAGTTCTAAACATTACCTTTTATAACTCACATCTAGCATAGAAAAATAAAAGCATCAGGCTATCTCCCCCAAGTTTTGATCTTGGAAATGTGGAAGGAAGACAATCACGAAGAGAAAATCCCAGGATTATCATTTATTAGTAGTATATATATGTGGTTCCTGAGTCTGGTTAAGACAGTGGAGATTTTATTTTTAAAACAAATACTTGATTTCTGATATCAGAAAGGAAAGAAAAATTTCTTTTCTGAATGTGATTTTTATTAGATGGAATATCGCAGTTGTTGGAAGTCGTATTTTGGAGATTTTGTAAATCATGTTGACGTATTCCAGACATGAATTTCACATAACTCTATTTCATTTGGATAGATTTTATGTCATCAAAATAGGTTGCTGGTGTCTTTTTAAATGCAATGTGGAGGATCTTTTTTTGTTCTTTTTAAGGCAGAAAAACAAAAATGAATACAACAACAACAAAAATAACTTTCATAAGGCAACAATACTCCAAGAACCAACCCATATAAGGTCTATCAGATTTTTTTCATAACTATGTCAGTGGGTGAAATTTTTAGTTAAGCCAATCAAGAAATATTTAGCAAATGTACAGGTTGTGGAATCATATTGGTCATTTAGTATAGTTCATTTCTCCATATTATAACACATTTTAAATATTTTAAGTGATTACTTGCCTTCTCTAAATTAACCACTTTTTATAGAGTATTAAATTCTGGACCAACGTGAAATTTGTAAGTAGAGTTAACTCTTGATCCAGCCATGAGAAGAAAACCAGAATCCAGTAAATTGATAATAATTGGGAAAAATGTCTCCTCTTGATTGGTAATATTGGACAGATCTCACAAACAACATAATGAAAAACAATTAAAGAGAGTTGTTAGGGTCCTTGTTGTTTTAAACTATTTTGAAAAAGTATTGTAAATATAATGGATATTACCATGTTTCTGAAAACAAGGAAAATGCGTTTCCCAGTGGTAAGTTGATCAGGATGCAAACAGGAAAACATACTTGTGAATCAATCTAGTAGATTTCTAAGTTGAAAGATGTCCTAAGTAGTGTGATGAAGTACAAAGAGAACAGATAGCAATGAGACACAAGAGCTTTAGATTGGAGGTTAATGCTATCTTTTGTCATTAGGATAATCATGTGTTCCAGATTCTGGGAATTGAAGTTGATCATCTCTCTTGCTCTGACACAATTATTAATATTCTCTTTCATTGTTAAAAATGTTTTGATTTGGATAAGAAATTGTATGGTTACCCTACTTATTGTGATGCCTCACTCTATTTTCATAGGGAAAAAAGTATATGTGCTACTTTTAGTTTTTTAATGATATGTATTTTTAAAATTTTAAAATTTTATTCATTCTTTTTAGTTATACATGGCAGCAGAATTCATTTTGATATTCAAATATAGGATATATCTTATTCTAATTAGTATTCCATTCTTAAGGATATTCACAATGGTGGGATTCACTATGGTATATTTATGTATGTATACAGGAATATTATGTCAAATTCATTCCACTGTCTTTCCTTTTCCCATTCCCCTTCCCTTTCTTTCATTCTCCTTTGTCTAATCTACTGCATATCTGTTCTTCCCCTCTTCCTCTATATTGTGGTGGATTAGGTTCCATATATTTCTGAAAATATTTGACCTTTGGCTTTTGGGACTGGCTTATTTCACTTAGCATGATAGTCTCCATATCCATCCATTTACAGGCAAATGTCATGAAATCATTCTTCTTTATGTGAGTAATACTCCATTGTATTACTATATATACCATATTTTCTTTATTCATTCGTCTATTGAAGGGTATCTAGGTTGGTTCCACAGCTTAGCTATTGTAAATTGTGCTGCTATAAAATTGATGTGGTTGTGTTACTTGTAGTGTGCTGATCTTAAATCCTTTGGGTATACGCTGAGAAATAGGGTAACAATCAAATGTGGTTCTATTCCTAGTTTTTTTGAGGAATCTTCATACTGTTTTCCAGAGTAGTTGCACCAATTTGCATTCCCACCAGCAATGTATGAGTGTAGCTTTCTCTTCACATCCTCACCAACATTTATTGTTATTTGTATTCTTGATAATTACCATTCTGATTGGGGTGAGATGAAATCTCAGTATAGTTTTAATTTGCATATTTGTTGAAAATTCATATCTCTTCTGAGAAGTATCTGCTCAGTACTTTTAGTTTTTAAAGTTGTAACAATTGAAATGAAATCTTTTGTATAATCAAGAGTTTTACAATCAAAAATTCATATAAGAATAACTGGGATGATTAAATATTAGTATATGCATCTGGGCAGAATGATTTAGGTACTGTTATAAGAGTACTTTTACATGAATAATGTAATTCTTGAACAAATTAGTATTATTCTCAGTTAGTTCTGTAATGCCTATATTTTCCAAAAATGTGTTGTGTTGAAACCAAGTCACAGACTATGACTACAAGCAATGTTGAGATTTAAACTAAGTTTTGGAATAAAGAAGAAGCACAAATTATGTTTTTATGAAAATTCAATGGCTTTACTGAACTGAATGAGAAAAATGGAAGCAATTATTTCATCATTTTTTCAGTTTTCAATTCAGTGTGGAATGTTTTTAGTTTGCTTCTTATCATCTTCAAGAGGTATTTAGGTATACTTCCGTTAGCTTTTGAAAATGATAATAATTTTATTCTTTTATTAAGTCATTATCAGCAATCATGCATTTTAATGTATGCAGTATGCAGTCTTTAAACAAAAAACTTTTTTTTTCATAAAGCTCTATTCCTGAATCTAGTTGTATTTCTGAAAATCCATTTAATCTCTTCAAAATGACTGCACTTTAACTTTTTAAATTTCTTCCTGCAAAGCTGTTGGAGGACTTGTATTAATTTGAAATAAAATAAAACAAAACCACTTTTTATCACTAGCAAATGAGTTTCCAACTTGAAGGTCCCTTTAGCAATAAAAAGAGGAAGCTGATTTTGCCTAAATCTGAGAATCTTGACCATCAGGAGGACTTCAGAAAGTTGGCACACAGGAGCCAGCTCACCATATGGAACTTTAAAATACACAGTTTCGGGGAAAAAAAATAAAGGATATCAAATGCTACACAGCCTTATTAAAAACATGAATTAGATAATGTACATGAAAGTATCTGGTCACTACTTGTAGTTTTGATTTGATACTCAATGGATGTTACTTGAGTGAATGAGCAAGATCTAGGAAGAGTAGGAAGATCTAGGAAGAGTCAAGGAATTGTATACCAAATAATGCTCTTTCTTTTATTTTTTTCTATGCCAGCCAAGAACCTCTCCTGTAAAGAATAGTACAAATGACCAATAATATAAGTTCATTTCACAGACTCAGCTATTTTTACGAGCTTTATGTGTCTTTTTCCATCATTCAAATTATTTTTTTTACCACCCAAATCTGACATTGAAGATTCTGAACCACCTAGATTAGGATCTAAGGTCACCAAAAGACTCAATTTTACTATCTCCATCTACTGGCAGGGAGGAACTATACCCAAGCATCTGGACTGGCATAGAAAAGAGGAGAAAGAACATTTAAAAGGTAAGCAAAACATATGTTTTTAATTTTTTTTAAAAAAACGTGTCTCATTACACTCTACTATAACTAAGATTGATACAAGCCATCTTAAAGCAAGCAAGAGAATCTCTTTAGGTGGAATAATGTTCTTACCAGTAGCTCTAATACAAACAAGTGGAGACCTGAACACCTTCTTTGATGTTGGCTGTTACGTCTTTGCTCTTCCCAACTTCTGTCTAGTCATTCCAAGGCTCAAGTGCTACTCTCACAATATCCCTGATAGTCTTCACACTGCAGTGTGCTTGCTGGAATGCCTATACATATGTTCTCATTTCCTGAAATTCTCTGACATGTTAAATATGACTTTACCTGACAAATTATTTTGACTGTTGAGAGAGTAAAGATATGTTTCTTTACTGAGCTGTAATTTATTATTCTGGTGTTTCTCTGGTACTTTTCCATTGTTCATTCATTAGTATTTTTGTTTGGCTGAAAGTGCCAAATAATGGGCTGGGGTTGTGGTTCAGTGGTAGAGTGCTTGCCAAGTATGTGTGAGGCACTGGGTTTGATCCTCAGCCCTGCATAAAAATAAATAAATAAATAAAATAAAGGTATTCTGTCCGTCTACAAGTTAAAAAAAAATTCAAAAATAAGTGACAAATAAAACTTTCTTGGTAATTGATGAGTAAGCCTTAGTACGTATTTATATCAGTATTTTTTTTTTGAATTTGGTATTTTGCTTGCTCATTAGAAATTTTCTGAAATTGCACTGGTTCACTTTTAACAAGATTATTACGTTGTGATCAAACTTTGCAGTATGATAACTGGTATAAAATATTTCTGTGGTTTGTGTGGTTGTACAGTAATAGATCTCTGTAATTCATGTTTTAGATGATGAGTACAGTTGTCTCCAAGGCTTATGTTATGCATATCTTTCTTTAAAAAGCCCTCAACTTGAGAATAGGGATATCAGCCCCATGTCAAGATAATTAATAACGTTACAATTGCTGCAATTACATTAATTATAACTTGTACATTTTTCCTAATAGTTTTCTCCTTTCTTCTTTCCCCCAACCCACATTGGCTTATATTTTTTGTTCTTTTTTTTCATGGAAAATATTACGTTTCTTTCAGAAGAGGAATGGGTGGATTCATAGGGAAACATGGGTGGAGAGTTTTCAACTTCAAAATTAGCTTTCAGAGGCAAGAATTTTCAAGGCAATGCTGTGCTCAGACAGGTCTGTTCACTTCTGGGAGGTCATGAATGCAGCTGTTCCATTTGCTCAGACAGGGATTAGACTCATATAAACAGTGCAGATGTCATAAAGAGGGATTCTCAAATCTTGTGGTGTCGGATGATGTCCAATCTGACAGACATATCCTCAGAGTCTCCCCTGAGATCAGAAGACAAGGAAGGAGATATTTTTGAACAATGTTGAAAGGACTAGTGATAATGGAGTGTTGGAGAAAAATCTCGCCTCACAAATGGAACTTCTGGTGGACTTGGTTAAGTCAAATTCAATCTCTACATTGAGTAAAACCATGTATCTCCTGCAATATGTTCCTTCCTCCATTTCACCTCCTCTTTTCAGCTCTCTTTTTCCTTTATGTTTGGCTCAATTTAAAATTATTGTGATAAAACTAGTGGCTGAAGAATCCAGCTAATGGATATATTCAAGGCCATTCTAGAATTAAGGATACTGAAAATCTTCTTTATGTTTATTCACTCTTTAACCCCAACCCTTCTAGTTGATAAAATAGGGTAAGCTGGAATGGAATAGGTTGGCACAGGGTATCCTCATCATTATTTAAATGTGTGTTTTGAGAAGGACCCTATTTTCTCACCAAAATATATGTTTTTTTATTAATTTTCAGTCATTGTTTCTTTTAAATACATCACATTTACATTTTTCATATTTTTACATCACTGAAATGAATAAAAATTGTTAAAGGGTAGTGCATGGGTTGGGGAGGCAGTGGTTTATACCAGAGCAGAATGGTTAGGACATTCATAAGCATATTTTATTTATACTTTGTCTAATGACAGGTGGACTTGTCCCAGTGTATTTATTCCAGATTTCATTATGTGGAATTCCTGAAAAAAAAAACAAAAACACAATGTAGTAATCTCTTATCTTGCTACAAACATAAGTTGTAAATAGTAAATATTTCTTATGGAAATGTAAACACTTTATCACTAATTGACAACACTTAGTAACTCTGAAATATAAGATAGGAGGATATGTTTTGTATATAAATGACTGAATTTTTTTTTAATCTTAGGGTAGAATTCATGAGTCATAGACTCATTACAGATACATTATATGCATACACTTTTGAAGGTGAAATGCTAAATACAAACCGGAAACAGTAGTCTCATTTTCAGCAATAACATATATGGCTGAATATATTAACATTGTAATAAATATATTCCTACCAATTTTCCTTAGGATTCATTCATTTGCCTAATGCACAGCTTAGCCTAATGCACAACTTAGTCTAAAAAATTTTAAACATTTTAAATTCTCATTAAAAACAGACAATAATGGACTTACAAATCTGTGAAAGACTTAAGTTTGTAGGGACTGTCATTTTCTTGTAATTTTCATTGGTAAATTCTAAAAATTATCCCATCAGAATTTCAATACTTTACCTAGTCATTGTGAACTCACAAAGAAATAGGAGGTAACATCAGGCCATTTTGGAGATTGCTGGTAAATTCCAGTCTGAATGTTGTAAATTATATGTCCCATGCAGATAGAAAGTTGGTAGATCCTGAGACTCAAGAACAGATGTTCTTTATTGAAAATATTTTCTCTTAAATTTGTTTCTTAAAAGGTATATATAATAGGAATTTGTGCTTAATCATGTTAGCCATTTTTTGCTATAATAATATTACTTGGTATTTGTTGCTTAAAACATTTCAGAACTCCTAATATTGATACTCTCTACATTGAATAATAATATAATTCAATAGGAGAGTTGATTCACTAATCTTTAAGGTGAATGTTTCTTATGTAATTGAACTACTCCTAATTTATCTCTCTTCTACATTCTGGTTTGGCCTCTTCATGGTGTCTAAAGTAATGTACAACTTAACAAAGAAAGAAAACAGCATTGCCTAAACATGTTTTACAATATTAGGGTGTGTGATTATATGTGTATGCAGTTATATTCATTACTAATTGGTGTGTGTAAAGGCCGTAAAGAGATTCTGTGTTTATGCACTTGACTATTTATCCTGTGCCATAATAGGTATAAAGATTATTGTCAGTTTTTCTTCCATATTTGAGCATTCATGTTAGAGTCACTCCATTGTACAAAACCAAAATGGGTTATTTTTATGATTACTCAGAAGCTTAAAATACCAGGCTGTCAAATCCTGACCATTTCTAAATCATATGTCTCAATACAGGAAGATTTTATAGCTCTTACTTGATGGGTCTTTTATGATGTAAAGTGAGGTGTTTTTGAATGTGAAAGTGGATACTAACAATAATCACACCAGGGAAACAGATTTAAACCAATGTTATCCCAGGCAAACCCAAACACTTCTACTACATAATGATTTTGATTGCAATTATAACAAATTGTAACTGTAACTGGCTCAAATAGTAAAAGTGATTTATTTATTAAAGTAACTGAGAAGCCCAGAGAGGAGGTGAGTTTATTGTATGATTTAGCTCAACTTTTCTGTTCAGTGATATATCTGCTCGTTTTTGTGCATTGACCTTTTTATCAGACTTTTATCAGCCTAAATGACTACCATGCTTCTGAGTCTCACTTTTACACTCAAAATTGTCTAGTCTCCCAGTGTTGAAAAATGGCCTTTGAGTTCACTCTGATCTGTGCATTAGAGTGATCCATGCAACAAAGGAAATGGGCTTGTATTGATTTCCCAGAATGTTTCTGGGTAGGATCAGTCTCACCTTTATCCAGGGTTGTCATAATATTGATGGGGGACCCTGGGAAAATTCTCATTATTTTAACTTTTCCTCGTGTACTTCTGAACACAGGCCTTCATTTACAACTATTTCCATGGACTAAGAGGCTAATGGTTTAGTTCTTGTACTTCTCATTATATTCAAAAGAATGACACATCTTTTTTTTTTTTTTAATGTTAGCATTGTGAAACAGTAAAACTTCTGCAAATTGTTTCTTTTCCTCCTTCTTTAGTCAGCCTATAGAAAGAAATTTTAAATCATTGCCTAAAAGTCAGTGCTATTTGCATAATCACTTTGATCTTTTTGAGACTGGAACCTTTATACGTATGGCCAGTTTTGCATTATGTCTTACATAACATTCTCCTGTTCTCTAGCATCAGGAAAGTGGATATCTGTAGTAAATTTTTATTCTCATTGTATTAAACAGAATTTGATAGTCAATGTTTCTCCTTTATTTATATACTGCTTTGTAATTATTTTATTTTGTATAATTATCATATCCTTTGAATTTCTAGACAAATCACTGATTAATTCCAGTTGATACAAAATAAATCAGTGATTTGCTTAAAATAACAGATTCTGTCATTCATCAATTCATAATTCAGAGTTTTGGTAAAATAATTACTGCAATTGTAGTATTCTCAGAGAGTGGCAAATTATAGAGCATGTTCTAATTTTACAAATAAATGGGCTTAATAAGAAAATGGAAAGTCTCAGTAACGAGTACTCTGACTTGTCACCTTCAGCTGTGATATATGTGTAGATTAAAACAAATGAACCTGGAGTAGGATATAAAATGTTAATTAAAGGACTTTAGTTAGTGGGTATTCATTGTTAAATCTTCTTATTTTTATTCTGTACAGTCTCTGGAAACTTAGGAGTAGTGGTTGAAATGTTAATATAAATCTAAAATTGTTTTCTGCCTTGTCCCAGGGTATCAAGTTTTCTTACACTATCAAAGTGTGTTAGATAGTGCTGGGTGCCAGGCTCAGAAGAAACTAGATATGGATGTCAACAAAAATAATTTGCCACCTTGAAATCATAGTGTAGTGGAAAAGAATACAGTCAGCATATACATTG